TTACCTCTGTGATTTCTCATCTTGCATCCTAAGTGAAAACATTCACTTAACTAAGATACATGTATAGGGATGTTCCCAGTAGCACTGTCTGCAGTATAAAAAACTGGAAACAGAGTCTATCAACTAGGAACTGGTTAAATTATAACACATCTTCCTCTACACCATGATATATCACATAGCTATTAACAAGAATAAGGCAGATCTAGATGCACTAATATGGAAAAAAGTGTCATTATCACACAAAAACCACTTGCAAAAAGGATGTACTGTGACACCCCTCCTCTTTGTTGCAAAATAACAATTATGTTGTTTGATTATATCTGCCTTAACTCTAAAATATATGGCACATGAAGGAAGGAACTTTAACTTCTAGGGCTTTATCCCAGAGCCACCCCAGTATACTACCAAACCCATACATAACAGGTGTCAAAAATTTTTGTTGAATAAAAGAATACTTATTCCAGCAAGGCACATAACAGGCACTCATAAATATTTGAATTTAACAGATACACAGAGAAAAAAAATAGAAGATTATACTATCTTAACAATGGTTAGCTATGAGCCCGAGATTAAAGAGGGGCTTTCATGTTCATCCAAAAATTGGTTATGGACTATAGCGTCCCTACTACTACTGTTAGTGTGCTAGACAGCAGCTACACAACAAGGAATAAAAACAGACAGGGACACAGGTTTCATGGTACACAAACACCTATTAAACCAATAACATGCATAAAATTGATAATATTTAAAGCTGTAAAGATTAAGTAGTAAAAGTACAGCATGCAGTGAGAATAAAACAAACGATCATCTTGTATCAGTAACTGTTAAAGTTGGGTGAGTACATGGGAATTCATGCTACCATCCTCTCTACTTGTATATGATGAAAATTATGACTTTATTTTTTAATTTAAAAGAAAAAAAGGTTCTGTTTTGGATTGAGTCAGGCAAAGTCCATAAGACCAAAGGGACCAAAACTGTAAATTCAACTAAGAGAAAATGTGAACTGACAGAAAGTGTCACTAGAACATCATCAATGAAAGAGGCTTAAGAGTGAGGCCTAGTAGTCTTCATCAAGGGCTCTGGACTAGAGCTATGAGAGAGCTATGAGAAGTCACTGAAGTGTTTTTTAAACTGACAGGACATTAACTTCCTAGAATGCATTACATTTCTATGTTTTAACTCAGGTACTGTTTCTCTAGTAAGAACAAAACAGACGTACTCCTATACACAGCTGGAAGTACAAACAAGTCCAGACTGAAAATTCCTTCAAAATTTTAGCTATCACAAATGAAATTAACATATGATGATGCCATTCTTACCTAGCAAATCAAAAAATGTGATCAACATATCATGTTGGTGATGGTATGAGTAAAGAAGACCTTCTTAACACTGACACTAAGAATACAAAGTGGAACCATTATTCTGATAGACAATTTAGCAATACTGATTAAGATGAAAAATGTACACTCCTAACCTAATAATTTTACTGCAAGGCACTTACCTATGATCCTTACTGTCAGAAAATACATCTGGTCTTATGAATTAGGATACACAATATTTGCAGAATACTGTGGATACAGGATTTAGTACAGATTGCTTTCATCCTGTGACTGAACTAAGAGTCTCAGAAATGTAAATAGTCCTGATGCACCTTGTCTTTGAATACAGCTGAACACCACTTCAGCTCTGGCATCTTACAACAAACTGTTGTGTAAAGTATAAAAAATATATTCACAATATTATTAATTCTTTTAATTTCTTGCTAGGCATCAGGCAACAAAAGGAGAAAGTGAGTAGAAAAGAAGCCTTTTTGGTATTTAAATAAAAACTACTTGAACTTCAGATTAGGCATAGTTTCCAAAGTGCAAATGACCAAAAGAAAAAAATAAATAAATAAACTGAACTATATTAAAATTAAAAGCTTTTGTACTACAAATGATATCAAGAAGGTAAAAATGAAATATCTATAAAATGAGGCAAAATATTTACAAACATAAGGATCTTGTCTGCAGAATAAATAACTCTTACAACTCAATAATGACAACCCAATTTCAAAAAGGGCGAAGGACTTGAATAGACATTTCCCAGAGAAGATACGCAAGTGGCCCATAAGCATATGAAAAGATGCTCAACATTATTAGACATCAGAGAAATGCAAATCAAAACCAAAATGAGATACCACTTCACCGCAAGTCGGAGAGCTATGAGAAGACAACAAAAACAAATGCAACAATGTGGTGAAATTTGAATCCTCATACATTGTGAGTATGTAAGACAGCAGGCAGCCACTTCTGGAAAATAAATTGTCAGTTCCTCAAAATATGAAATACAGGATTTATCATATGATCCAGCAATTCTACTCCTAAGGATACACCCAAGAGAAATGAAAACACATGTCCATATAAAAACGTGTACACAAATTTTCATTGCAGCATGGTAGCCAAATCAACTGATGGATATATAAAATGGGGTAGCTACATACACAAAACTATATACTATGTGTCAATAAGAAGAAATGAAAATGGCCAAGAAGCCCATGAAAAGAGGCTCAACTCGTTAGTCATTAGGAAAATGCAATCAAAACCTCAAAGAGATGCTCCTTCAAACCCACCAGGATGGCAACTAAAAAATAAAGAAAAAATAAGTAAGTTTTGGCAAGGATGAAGAGAAACTGGAACTTCATAAACTGGAAATGTATAATGGCACAGCAGCTATAGAAAACAGTGTGGCAGTTCCTTAAAAAATTAAACATAATTGCCCCATTCACAGCAATTCCACTCCCAAGTATACATACAGCTGAAAGAATTGAAAACGTGTTCTAACAAAAACTTGTACACACGTTCATAGCAGCACTATTCCCAATAGCCAAAAAGTGGAAATAACCAAAATGTCCAGTTAATTATGTGAGGTGCTAAATCACCTTGACCTTGGCAATCATTCCACAATGTATATCAAAGCATCACCTTGTATGCTTTAAATAATAATTGTTCCTCCATAAAGCTGGGGGGGTATCTTTTTTTAAGTCTATCAACAGAAGAATATGCAGTTATCCAAACAATGTAATAATAATCAGTCATAAAAGGGAATTAAGTACTGATACATGCTACAACATGGATGACCTTTAAAATGTTATACTAAGTGTAAGCCAGACAAAAAGGGCCACATACTGATTCCATTTATATGAAATATCCAGAATAGAGCAATCCACAGACACACAAAGATTAGTAGTTGCCTGGGGTGGGGAAGAGGGGAAATGGGAAGTGACTACTTAACAGACAGGGGAGCTTCCTTTTAGAGTGATGGAAAAAGTCCTGGAAGTAGACACTGGTGATGTTTGTACAACACTGTAAAGGTTCTTAATGCCATTGAATTGTATACTTTAAAATGTAAATTTTGTTATGTACGTTACACAATTTTTTTTAATGAAATAATGATACATGCTACATGGATGATCCTTAAAAATATGATGCTAAGTTAAAGCACTAGTCACAAAAACTCCATATATTGTATGATCCCATTTCCTCGAAATGTCAAGAATGGGCAATTTTAGAGGTAGGAAGTAAATCGGTGGTTGCTTGGAGCAGGAAGGCTGGCGGGGGTGAATGGTTCAGGTGGGAGATGGGTGGGCTCAGTGCCACTTCAATGAATACCGGGCTTTTTTTAGGGGGGCCTAAATTGTTCTAAAATCACATTGCAATAATGGCTGTACAAACCCTGTGAGTATACAAACAAAAAAACAAAGACAATGGATTGTACATTTTAAGTGGGTGAATTGTATGATATGTGAATTCCTATCTTAATGCTGTCAAAAAAAATTGCTTGGATATAAACCTTGCAATTGCAGCTGAAAACTCACCTTCTCTATGATATTCCCCTTTTAGTGATCTAAGCTAATTTCTACTCCTTTACTTGCGGTAAAATCAGAACTACGCTCAGAGTTGACATTTTTTGGTTACCCTGGAACCTAATTACGTTAAACTGACTGAAGCTCGACAAATTCTATTACACACACGGACTTCTGTCATTCCAGTACTTAGTGTTGGAGTCAGATTTGCACTCCTGGTAAGCCAAACGCCCAGAGCTTGACTATTCATTTGCTTTATGGAAGCTCCCTAACTTGTTTCACTTCCCAAACTAGATTTAAGTTCCAAAGCTGAGACCTTCACTTCCATTCTTTCTGTATCCCGCCGCACAATGTACAAACTTCAGAAAGCCTTTACTAAGTGCCTGCTGAAAGAAGGCTACTGAGCATGCCCGGCTTGGCCAAGTCAATTCAACAATATTCCGGAACAAAAACTGTAGTTCCCGCGTTCAAAGGTGGAAAAGAAGGAGAGACAGACACAATGCCTAAGATTCAGTCTAAAAAGAAAGGCAAGGTTCAAGGGCTAAGCAAAAGTGAAGGACAGCACTCAACACAGCTCAAACTTCGTACTTGGTAGAGAGCTGCGGAGTCAGACCCTCCCCCTGCACCCCCCCACCGAAAAAAAAAAACGCTAAAAAATACGAGAGGAGGTCAACTTTGGATGAAGGGTACCAATGACGTAGGTTAACCGTATGTTTTTCGAAAGCAGCCCAACCCAAAAATAACGCTAAGATCAAGCCTTCAGTGTCAACACTAACACAAGATATGCTATGATGAAACTCACTTCGCAGAGCTCCCTTTTTACAAACGAAGAAGCCGAAGCGTGGCTAAGATACACCAACCACCAACGTTTGCTAAGCTCTCAGCTCCTGCCTTCAACCATTTCCACCGCCATCTTCCGGGTAACAACCCAGAACCCTTTCCAGAGGGCTTTCAACAGCATCACCTCTGTGCAGAGCCCTGGAAAGCTGTTTGTCAAGTCGCCCAGACCGCGAAAAGGAAGATGCCTACACCTTGCTGTCTCCGCGCCTGCTAGATACATGCAACCGGCCCCTCTTCTTTCCCGCAACCCGACCCCCAGCCCAGTTTTCCAAGATCCAACGCAAGGGAGACGCGAGGCCCAGTGCGTGGGCCTCACCTGCACACGCCGCGGATGCAGGGCTCCAGCCAGATGCGGTAGGCGGTCTCGATGTGTTCCTGCGACACCTCCTCTGGTCGCACCGTCTCCGCCCAGCGCCAGGCCGCCTTCTCTAGCTGCAGCCGCGGGGCCATAGCGTTGGCCCCAGGAGCACCTTACGAGCAGGGCCGCCACTGCCACCACCGGCGCCTCCGCCGCTGCCCAAATAAGATCCGCCACCTGCCAGCAATGAGGACCAGGAGCTCCTTCAGCCAGCTGGCCAGTCAATCACCTGTGCGCGCCTCTGCCGCCGCGCCCGCCCGCCCGCGCCCGACCCGCACGACCGGCCGCAAAGTGCGGCCGCTGACACCCGACACCCCCTGCGCCACCAGTCGTTGTAGGTGCTCTCCCTGCCGCGGTCGGCGCATGCGCGTGCCCAAGAGTCTTTGCGCCTCCCGCACCTCTGGCCCAACGGGCGGAGGAAAGGGAAACGGCGGTCGCATAGTCTTGCCACGTCCTCACCAGCTATGTTGGGGAAGCGGCGTCTAAGACCCTGTCCAGGATAGCGTCTTGCGAACTACTACTCTTAACAAGCCAGAGCCTCCAGGCTTGCCTGTTTGTTATCTGGTATTTCCCATTTAACCGTTAAGGAGTCACGCGAGAGGCCACTCATCGCAGACCACAGGTCCGCGAGGCGGGTCCTGAAACTCGGTCACCAAAGAAACCAGGGTGGGCTCTCTTGAGGCTAAACCGGCTGCGACTCTTTCCCGAGCCTGTTGACGTCACAGGATGTTCTGTGCTTTGCTTGGAACTAGAACTGTACTACGTGTCCCGGCATGCATTGCTCACTGCCGCTCACTGGATTCCAGGCATACTGGGATTTGTGGTCTTGGAGGTGCTGGGCGCGGGCGCGGGCGCGGGCGCGCAGGCGGGTGCCGGGGCGGAGTTTCTCTGCTCGGGAGGGTCACCCTTGACGGCAAGCTGATCCTCCTCATTACTGCTTTCTGTGTATGGTAATTTCCTAGTTCTTTCTTAAAGCTCTTCCCTAGCTCTCGGCTTGAAAGACATTTCCTTTTTGCAACTCCTGCCTCAGGACATAAAGAGAAGTCTTAGAATGTTTTGCAAAGTGTAAAAGGGCACTCGCTGCCTTAGTGACTATTTTGAATACATTACATTTCAATGAGGGCCCTACGGGGGTCTGGGGTCTAAACACTAGTTTCTGACCTAGCAGTTTACCAGCTGGGTAACCTTGGACTGGACGATGATGAACCTGTGCTGTTCACTAGACATTCACTGAAGGCAAAACGAAATGAGACGTCCCCACCCTTAGTGCGGGGAGAGTGGTAGATACACAAAGTAAGTACTCCCCAGCGTCGGCAGGTTTGGAATACTTGGTAAAAGTTTCCCAGAAGGGATAACTCCTAAGCCTATCCTTAAAAGGTGAGCAGAATCTAGTCAGGATAGAAGAAAGGTCCCTTTCTAGACAAAGGGAACCCCAAGAAGCAAAAGTACAGAAGAGAGGTTCTTAGTATGAGGCCACATATTCTGAGACGGATTGGTAAGAGGTAAGGCTTGAGAGGCTGGCCAAGACTGCCTTTATCTGAGGAACTCATCGAAAGGGTTTAAAGCTGGTGAGTAATGTACGGGAGGTTTGTATTTTTCATAGCTTCCTCTGTCTGGGTCAAGGTCAGAGGTGGAGAAAGCTCTTATAAGACTATTGAAGTAATCCAAGCTAGAGATAATAAAGGCCTGACCCAAAGTGGCGTGATAAATACGGAGTAAACAGCCGCATTTGAAAGATATTTAGGTCATGGAATTGCTACAACCTGATGCTTGATCTTTAGTGCTTACAGCTCCAAGTGTCATAGATGGCCTCACTTAGCACATGATCAAATTGTGAATATTCACCGTCCTGTCACTGCTATATGCCATTTTTCAACTCAGTAACTATATGAGTGGACTTAACACCAAGTGAGAAAGAGACTACAGAAGGAGGATCAAGTTTAAAAGAGAAATGATCGCAGTTATGGGTGCATCAGGGACATCCGTGTCTGGAGAGCAGGCATAATTCTGAATCTTCCAGGATATATTGCTTCTGCATCATGCGTTTTCCAATCTTTACAGCATTCAAATGTGCTGCAACTTCTCCCAAATTTAACAAACCGTCTCTGACCGCCACATCCTCCAACTACTGTCCCATTTCTCTGCTCCCCTTTATAACAAAACTGGAAAGAATTGTTTATATTCTTCTCCACTTCCCCTCTTCTATCCTCCTTAAGTTCATTCCATATTAGGTCCTTGCCTCCATTACCCCCAAAACTATTCATAGGAAGGTCATGGAAGACCTCCATATTGTTAAATCCAGTGGTAAACTCACACTCTATTTTATTTGACCTGTCTGCACCATTTGACCCAGTTTTTCACTCTCTCCTCTTGGAAGCACTTTCTTTTTTTCTTCAGTGGCCTTTTTCAGTGGTTTTTGCTGGTTCTTTCTCATCTCTTTAACCCATGAACTTGAGTGGGCTGGGGTTGTCCTTGGACCTCTTTTCTAACTGCATTTACTCCCAGGGTGATCTGATCTCCACCTGTGGTTTTAAATACCAGCTGTGTGTTGATGACTAGACCTGACCTCACTCCTGTCAGCAAAAAGTTAATTAAAATCACCTTGAAATAAAGACAGTTTTATTTGAGGCAAACTGAGGACTTAAAAGCCTGGAAACATTAACTCCCACAGGTAGAAGAAATATTTCAAAAAGTCCAAGTTATGTAAAGGTTTTATATTCTTGAGGAGGCAGGCAAGAAAGAATTTCAAAAGGGTACACTGCATTTAAAATACGTGATGCTTTTAAAAAAAGGAGGGGGGCCTTGGGGCCGATATACCTCTTGGCACTCAAGAGTATTAAGGGGAAGGGCAAACATTCTTGCTTATGTCCTTGAGCTGGAATCCTGAAGACAACAGATGTGGTGATACATACTTTGTTTAGCTTTTAACTTGGTTTTAATTAACAGATGGTATTATAAAGTTATAAAGCTTAAGTTTTCAAGGGTGGCTATTTTGAGACTCCCAGAAGTAATGAAACTTCCGATACTTAGGCCTAAGAAATCTTTTGGGGGGCCCTAGTATGATGGCCAGCTTTTCTTTAGTTCATACCCCTAAAATGCCAGATTTGTATAGCCTGCTTCTTACTGGATATCTGCTGTGTGTAATAGGTACTTCATGCTTTACAGGTCCAAAATATACCTTTATTCTACTAACATTGCCCCCAAAATACCCTTCTGTAATTTTCCCCATCTCATCAGGTGGCAATTCCATCCTTCCAAAAATCTTAGAGGCAGCTTTAACTTCTCTCTTAGATCCCCATCCAGTCCTTCCACAAATCCTTTCACTGTGCCTTCAAAATATATACAGGATGCAACCACTATACAGTTACTGTTACCACCCTGGCCACTCACCTGGGTTATTGCAAAAGCTTCCTAACTGGTCTCCATGTTTTCACCCTTGCATCTTTGTAGTCTGTTCTTGGCATGTAAACCACATGGACATTCCTCTGCTCAAAAGCCTCCAAGAACTTCCCATCTCGTTCAGAATAAATGACAGAGGCCCTTCCCTGTACACCTAATTGCCCAGACCTCATTTACTACCTGTAGCTTCTGGCTGGAGGGGTTTCCCTGCTCAGGGCAAGTTCATAATGGATGCAGTGAGACTGAATAACAATAACAATAGAATATTAGGGGTAAAAAGGGGTGCATATCAAGTTTTATTCTCAAGACAGGAGGTTGGGCACTCCACTCCCATCCACCTCCATCTTTGCCCCCAGCTCATCCTCTGCTGTTTTCTCTTCCTATCTCTTGCTTTCTTCTCTAGGCTCTGCTCTCCTGGCTCTTAGCACAGTGCAGAAATCCTCTGTAGCAATACCAGCAGTAATGGCTTGTTGGCAACGGGTATGCAAGCATGTGCCTGGACAGTAGGCTAAGTATTACCTCATCACACATGCACAGTGCGTATCAGGTGAGGATCCTGGCCATGGAACTCACATTTTTTGAATCTGCATAGTGTAGGACTAAGTCTCTACCACCCCAGGATTTGGGGGGGCTGCAGAGCACTGGATGGAGTGAGATTATGTTCTGAGAACTTCCCAAAGGCAAAGAAGGGAGATTTTCAGGCAGGTTACTAAGAGCACAATCATACGGCTGCAGTCCTGTCCGGGTCACCCAGGCCATGGGAACTGGCAAGCCCAAACCAGAGCTCTCAGTAGCCCCTCCCTACTTATCTCGGGTAGAACAGAGACAGAGCGGAAACTTGTGCATAAATCTGGAGAACAGAATGAAATAGCAAAGTAAAGTAACAAAGACGCTTACCACTGGAAGAACACAGACAAAATGTAATAAGTTGAGCAGTAAGAAGTCTTTATTTAAGGCAAAAAATACACACACACTGGAAGAAAGGGGAGTGTGGGCAACCTCTGAGAGAAGGTGCCCTTAGGAGTTTAGGATTTGGGGTTTTATAGAGCCTTTTGGGTAGAGGTCAGCATAAGACATGATATATACAGGTGATTCATAATTCCTTTGAAGTTTTGTCTTAAGAATATGGTTATTTAGGTTTACTGTGTTTACACAGATCTCAGCATTCTTTATCTACATAGGTTTATTTACACTTTGGTGGTCTATCTCCTGTCCTAGTTACAAAGGTACTCAGTTGATTAAGGGACTGGAAGAAGGGGAAGAACAGTACATAGATTAAATTATAGAATAAGCTGGGCCTTTTTTGCACGCTAAGTAGATTTTATAATGGCATGATTTAATTGGTACAAGGAAGATGTGGGCTGCATTCTGATGTTTTTCTTTATCTGGGGAATTGTTTTTCAGCGGGGGAATATCTGGACATTCCAAGTCACTCCTGGCCTTTGAAACTTCAACCATTAACTAATTCACTGTGAGCCCTTTCTGGCTCTCTGGTTTTATCTGGTTTAGTCTCTGAGTCCTTTTAGTGGGCTTTACTGGCTTTATTCTATCTCCACCCTGCTCATGTCTGTCTTTTTGCCTAACAGAACAATCTTACCCTACACAGCCATATGGCTTGCTCCTTAACCTACATTTCAGAAACAGGGAAGACCCTAGAAAGAAGCTGCAAAAGGAACAATTATTAGATATAGGGAAAAAGATTGAATAGCTCAGAAGCTTAGGGAGGAAAGTTTCAAGAAGATAAGAATGGTCAGCAATGTTAAATTCTGTTCTATTGTCCTCCCCATCTCTTGGCTCCCTTCACAGTAAAATTACTGAAAGAGTAATCTACCCCAGTGCTGTCCAAGAGAAACACAATGTGAACCACATCTGTAATTTTAAATTTTTTAGTAGCCACATTTAAAAAAAGGAAAATGGTGAAATAAGTTTTAATACATTAAACCTAG